ATTACAGGTCAATCTCACTCATGAACATAGACATGAAAATTCTCAATAAAATACTGGCAAACCGAATCCAAGAACACATTAGAAAAATTATCCATTATGATCAAGTAGGCTTCATCCCAGAGATGCAGGGCTGGTTCAACATATGCAAATCTATCAATGTAATCCATCATATAAATAAAGTGAAAGACAAAACACCATATGATCATTTCATTGGATGCTGAAAAAGCGTTTGACAAAATTCAACACCCATTTATGATAAAGGTGTTGGAGAGACTGGGGATACAAGGATCATACCTAAATATAATAAAAGCAATATACAGCAAGCCAACAGCTAACATCAAATTGAATGGAGAGAAACTCAAAGCCTTTCCACTAAAATCAGGAACACGACAAGGCTGTCCACTCTCTCCATACCTCTTCAATATAGTGCTTGAAGTTCTAGCAATAGCAATAAGACAACAAAAGGAGATCAAAAGGGATTCGAATTGGAAAGGATGAAGTTAAACTTTCGTTATTTGCTGACGATATGATAGTATACATAAGTTACCCCAAAAACTCTACCAAAGAACTCCTACAGCTGATAAACACCTTAAGTAACGTGGCAGGATACAAGATCAACTCCAAAAACTCAGTGGCACTCCTATACACAAAGGACAAAGAAGCAGAGAGGGAAATCAGAGAAACATCACCTTTCATGATAGCCACAAATAGCATAAAATATCTTGGGGTTACTCTAACCAAGGAAGTGAAAGACCTATTTGACAAGAACTTTAAGTCTTTCAAGAAAGAAATTGAGGAGGATACCAGAAAATGGAAAGACCTCCCCTGCTCTTGGATTGGGAGAGCCAACATAGTAAAAATGGCAATTCTACCAAAAGCAATCTATAGATTCAATGCAATCCCCATCAAAATCCCATCAAACTTCTTCACAGACCTTGAGAGAACAATAATCAAGTTCATATGGCAAAACCAAAAATCCAGGATAGCCAAAACAATCTTATACAATAAAGGAACTTCTGGAGGTATAACCATAACTGACTTCAAACTCTATTACAGAGCTACAGTATTGAAAACAGCTTGGTATTGGCATAACAACAGAAAAGTCGACCCATGGAATCAAATTGAAGACCCGGATACTAACCCACAAACCTATGAACACCTAATTTTCGACAAGGGAGATAAAGGTATACAATGGAAGAAGGAAAGCATCTTTAACAAATGGTGCTGGCATAACTGAATGTCAACCTGTAGAAGAATGAAAGTAGATCCATATCTATCACCATGCACAAAACTCAAGTCCAAATGGATTAAAGACATCAACATTAATCTGTCCACTTTGAACCTGATAGAAGAGAAAGTGGGAAGTAGTCTACAAGATATAGGCACAGGAGGCCACTTCCTAAGTAGGACCTCAGTAGCACAGACAATAAGAGAAACAATGAATAAATGGGACCTACTGAAACTGAGTAGCTTCTGTAAAGCAAAGGACACTGTCGGTAAGACAAAAAGGCTGCCTTCTGACTGGGAGAAGATCTTCACCAACCCCTCATCAGACAAAGGTCTGATCTCCAAAATAAATAAAGAACTCAAGAAACTAGACACTAAAACTCTAACTAACCCAATTAAAAAATGGGGTACTGAACTGAACAGAGAATTCACAACAGATGAACTTCGAATGGCCAGAATACACTTAAGTTCATACTCAACCTCCTTAGCGATCAGGGAAATGCAAATCAAAACCACTTTGAGATACCATCTTACACCTGTCAGAATAGCTCAACTCAAAAACACCAATGATAGTCTATGCTGGAGAGGATGTGGAGTGAGGGGGACACTCATTCATTGTTGGTGGGAATGCAAACTTGTGCAGTCACTGTGGAAATCAGTGTGACTGTTTCTCAGGAAACTGGGAGACAACCTCCCTCAGGACCCAGCAATTCCCCTCTTGGGAATATACCCAAGAGATGCCTTATCATACTACAAAAGCATTTGTTCAACTATGTTCATAGCTGCACTATTTGTAATAGCCAGAACATGGAAACAACCTAGGTGCCCCTCAATAGAAGAATGGTTAAAGAAGGTGTGGAACATATACACATTAGAGTTTTACTCAGCGGTAAAAAACAATGACATCTTGAATTTTGCATGCAAATGGGTGGAAATAGAAAACGCTTTACTGAGTGAGGTAACCCAGACCCAAAATGAGGAATATGGTGTGTACTCACTCATAAGTGGTTTCTAGCCATAGTTAAAGGTCTTTGAGTCTATAATTTGTGATCCTAGAGAAGCTAAATAAGAAGGTGAACCTGAAGAAAATCATATAGTTATCCTCCTGGATAGTGGAACTAGGCAAGATTGCCAGGCAAACTCGGGTGCATGGGGGGTAGGAGGGTGGTAGCATGGGAAGATGTTCAGGGAGAGGGGAGAGCGGGAGGATTGGGGATGGCTTGGGGGAATGGGAGGGGGGGAGGGAGGAAGGATGGCTGTTGAAGCAGGGAGGTTTATATCTCAGCTAATGGAGCCATTTTAGGGTTTGCAAGAGACTTGATTCTGGAGGGGTTCCCAGTAAAAATTAAATAAAAAAATAAAAAAAAATAATAATAATAAAAAAAGAAAATGCTTTACTGAGTCAGGTAAGCCAGACCCAAAATGAGGAACATGGTATGTATTCACTCATAAGTGGACTCTAGCCATAATTAAAGGTCTTTGAGCCCATTATTCGTGATCCTAGAGAAGCTGGATAGGAGGGTAAACCTGAAGAAAATTGAGGTAGTTTTCCTCCTGGAGATTGGAAATAGACAAGAGTCCCAGGTAACCTCGGGTGCTTGGGGGGGTGGGAGGGTTGCTGGAAGAGGAGAGGGCTAGAGAGAAGGGAGCAGGGGAGGAATGGGGAATGCTTGGGGACTGGGAGTGGGGGAGGGAGGAAGGATAGATATGGGATCAGGGAAGAATATATCTCAACTAAGGGAGTCATTTTAGAGTTTACAGGAAACTTGATTATATATAGGATCCCAGGTCCAAGGAGAGATCCCCAGATTGTTCTCTGGATAGAGGAGAGGGTGCCTGAACTGGCCTTGACCCATAACCATACTGATGAATATTTTGCTTATCACCATAGATCCTTCAGCTGGCGATGGATGGAGATGGAGACGGAGACCCACATTGGAACACTGGACTTAACTCCCTAGGTCCAAACTAGAAGCAGAAGAAAAGAGAACGTCAGCAAGGAAGGCAAGATCAGAGGGAACCTTCATCTGACGATGGATGGCGATACAGATGAAGACCCACATTGGAGCACCGGACGGAGTCCCCAAAGGTCCAAATGAGGAGCAGAAGGAGGAAGAACATGAAAAAGGAAATCAGGACCGCGAAGGGTGTGAACACCCACTGATACAAGGGGACTGATCTAATGAGAGCTCACCAAGGCCAGCTGTCTGGGACTGAGCGAGCACGTAATCCAGCCAGATTCTCTGATTGAAGTCGGATTCTCTGAATGTGGCTGGCCCAGAGTCTTTCTGAAAAGCCATTGACAATGACACTGGAACTTGTTTCCTCTGCATATACTGGATTTTTGGGATCCAGTCTGTTTGGATGCTCACCTTCCTGGACCTGGAGGGAGGGGGGAGGAGCCTGAACTACCCACAGGGTGGGAGACCCTGACTGCAATTGGGGATGGACAGGGAGGAGGGGAGGGAGTGGGGGGAGTGGGAGGGTGTTGGGAGGAGGGGCGGAAATGGAGACTTTTGTATTTTAATAAACTTTGAGAAGAAAAAGAAAAAAATATGTATGTTCTATATTAGAAAGCATATGAAGTTTCAGTGAACTAAGAAACCTTGCTCTGTATGAACAGAAAGTAACAACTAGAGGGTCTTAACAATTTCTCATAGGCATCATTATTCCTAATGATGAAATGGAGGTTGTCCTCTGATAGTCAGAAACAATCCAAAACTATTGAACTTTGTTCTTTTGTCCTGCCAGAGCACTAGGAATGAAATTAAACAAGTATTCATTATTGTAAAATAATTACATTTTTATATTACTAACATAAATGCAGAGTTATCTCACATTAAATAATGAAGTTTAATCAACTGTGAGTAAATATACAAAACTGATTTTATTTATATAAGCTGAGTACTTATTTTAGGGAAATATGATTACTATTCATAAAAACTTCAAACATATCTAATTATATTTAACAACACTTCTTTTTTATGTTCATAGCAATTTTATTCATCTTTAACATAATTTATTTTATTGAATCTTTAGGAATTTTACATCATTCATCATAATTCCACTCAGCTGTCTGTCCCTCTATGCCTTCTGCTCACCCCTGCAGTGCCCCTGACAAAAAATATAACAGAAAAAAATCAAATCAAACCAAACCAATACAAGTAAATAAACAAACAAAAAGATAAAGACAACGTTTCTTACCATAGTAATTTAAGGAAAAATAATTTACAACATTAAATATCTTATCCCCAGGAAATTTTAATATGTTAAGATTTCATTGTTACCAGTAATCTTAACAAATTCCCTATTATTATTTTTTTTGCTTATTTGGTTTAGTTTTAATGTTACTCTGAGAAATTTATCAGTTAATTGTACTGTTAAATGTATCCACATTTGCAAATAGACTTAGAGATACAGTCTTGAACAAAGTTGATTGCCTCCACTAACTTTGCCATCACTTCTGCCACTGCCACGAAATTGGAACCTTTCAATTTTTTCAACACAATTACTTTCATGAACTTCTTTTTCTTCCGAAGAGTTTTATCAGAACTCTCTGCTAACACCTTTTATTCTACCAACTGATGAACCAGCACTCTAAAGGGGTTTGTTTTCTGTTTCCTCTATGCCTATGAATTCCTTGAAGACCCTGGCCACTGCAGCTAAGTAACCTCCACCACGATAACAATCTGTATCATGCCTTGGATATTGGAAAAGGACTAAAAGTGCACCAGGGAAGCCATTAAAATCCTAGATCAATCCATCAGACTTACCTCCTATGTCTGGGCGAAGTTTGTTATCATAACCTTGAAGTAATGAATTGAGAATTTGTGTGATATCTCCTTCATGAATTTTTGGTGCCAAGACCCATGTTTTATTCATAGTTAAATCTTCATCATCTTCATCATCGGCTTTATCAACACTAAATGATTCAAAGAGAACATTGAATAGTAAAAGTTTCATCAAAATCTTTTCAATTAAAATATGCAAGCTATTTCAGAATTATTCTAACATATAGTAGTATGATCATATATAATGCTTCAAAATAGTATTAGCTGATAAAATAAATACATCAAAATCAAAAATTAATAAGCATGCTAAAGCAAATGTTGATGATGTCTCCAAAAGATTTTCTGATTGTCACATCAGGGACACTTGCATTTCTAATGTATTTTAAGGGAATGCAAAGAACCTGAGTTCTAGATATTAAGAATTTAGTTTCTAAGTGAGAAACTGAATAACATAGGAAACCAGATAAACATAAGTCTTTTTACCCACAAAACTGGGATCACAATTGGAACAGTCTACGTAATATTTTAATGTTTCCTTCCCAGCTTTATTCTTTTAAAATGATTTATTGATTCTTATTGTTTCTATTTAATTTTATAAAGTATATTATAAAACTTTGCAAATAAATAAAAAAATCACACCTTATAGTTAACAAGACTTAAAGTCAATACAACTCAATGGATTTATATAGAGTGTGAACCATCATTGAGAACATAGCCTGTGCAGCTTCTTCTTAAATTTTATATGTTCAGCAACACATATTTTTTATGCAATTATACACCACCAAAACCAAAACTAAAAACTCCAAGACAGAATTAGAATTTGAAAAAAAAAACCTGACTGTGTGTCTTTTCTCCAAACTCATGTCATTTCCCTACATTCAGTCCTCACTCATCCCCTTACAGTTAACTTTTTGTTTTCTCTTTTCTTCATGTTATACTGTACCCATATGTATATTTGCTTAGATCTATACATAGAGACACAGGTATGTTACTAATAAGCATAAGGATTTGATTTATTATCAAATAATTGTAGAGATATTGAAGACTGATTAGATAAAGTCATAGCTGTTTAGATATATGCAAAAATGATAACAAAGAAGTTTCTTTAGCACAAAAATTAATTATCCCATTCTTATTTGATGAAAATCTTTCTAGACATGGTGACAGATCTTTCTTTATTGTCTTTACTTATTCAGAGAAAAAGGTCCAAAACCTAAACCTAACATTGATAAGTTTAAGGAAATGTGCTATTCTAAAATACTTACATCAATTTCATATAGAATGTCTAAACCATTATACTATTTTTTCACATCAATTTCTATTTCCATGAATTTTGAGAAAATGCACACCCTTTCCCATAAATTGCATGTGTATGCTTATATATTTTATGTTATCTGTCATCTGAAGACCAGTGAATAAAATTTTGGTCCCTAGTCTGGGAACCACAGAAAAGTAATACAGTCTTTAAAGATTGGGTCTAATGCTACAAAATTAGGTAATTGGAAGAGGGTTCTGGAACATCATTCTCTTGTCTTGTTGCTTCCAGACTTCCAGGAGGTAAGCAAGTTATCCAATCTTGCCATTATCTTCCTGACATGTGGCTTTACCTATCCATCATAATGGGACCAACAATGATGGGATGAAACCTCCAAAATCTTGTACTAAAATGCAATTTTTTACCACAAATATTGATTGTATCAGCTATTTTTTTTACAATACAAATAGCTGAATAATGCAATGCTAATACAATAAATCAAAGCTTAATTTTAAAGAATTTTATTTCTTAGCTTATCTCCTCAGTAATTCTGATATTTTGAGCATATAATGACTTGGTTTTTTTTTTCTTTCTTCTCAATGTTTATTCTTCTCTATGGAGAAACACTTATCAGCCCACTAGTTTCTGACTTGACCATCCTTTCTGCAAGAGGATTACACAAACCTTGGCATCTTAAACTCATATTTGACTCTTTAAATGGTTTTGAAAAATATTTATCACCACCAAGCAGAAAGTCTAATATATTAATTTACCATCCCAGGTGATTGGTTACATTTAACCTGACATCATCTGTTTAGTCCAAGATTGAGAGTGGCATGAACAAGACACACTTGAACTATATAATCAAGTAGCCTAAGTTTGAAAGTCACAGCTATTTCAGGATAGCTTGTTACCACCACACTTACAGATCTAAAGTATCTGTACAGAGCTTAACAGAGAACTCTTTCAACAGAGGAACCTCAAATGGTTGAAAGGCACTGAAGGAATTGCTCAACATCCTTAGCTATCAAGAAAATGCAAATCAAAACAACTCTGAGATACCAACTTACACCTGTCAGAATGGCTAAGATCAAATCCACTAATGACAGCTTATGCTGGAGAGGATGTGGTGTAAGGGGAACACTTCTCCATTGTTGGTATGAGTGCAAACTTGCACAACCACTTTGGAAATCAGTATGATGATTTCTCAGAAAACTGTGAATCAGTCTGCCTCAAGGGTCAGCAATTCCACTCTTGGGAATATACACAAAGGATGTTCAATCATACCACAAAAACATTTGGTCAACTATGTTCATGGCAGCCTTATTTGTAATAGCCAGAATCTAGAAAAAAACCTAGATGACCCTCAACCAAAGAATGGATAAAGAGAATTTACATCTACACTATGGAATCAGCAGTTAAAAAAAAAGAAATCATGAAATTTGAAGGCAAATAGATGGAACTAGAAAAAAAATCCCAAATAAAGTAATCCTGATCCATAAAGACAAACACTGTATGAACTCACTTGTAAGTAGATATTAGACATAAAGCAAAGGATAACCAGACTACAGTAGACAACCCCAGGGAAGCCAGGAAACAAGGAGGACCCTAAGAGAGACATAAATAGATACCCCATGGGAAGGGAAAGTATACAAAATCTTCAGAGTAAATTCACGAGTGCGGTACAAGGGTGTAAGGGGAGTGGGGACAGGAGAAGGGGTGGGTGAAGGAGAACATGAGGGATTTGTAAGCTTGAGTGGGGAGGAAGGACAGAGAAGGAGAGCAAGGAAAGAGACCTCTTGATAGAGGGAGCCATTATGGTGTTAGCAAGAAACCTGGCACCTGAGAAATTCCCAGAAATCTACAAGTATGACCCCAGCTAAGAATCTAAGCTATAGCGGAGAGGATGCCTTTACTATCTTTCCCCCTGTAAGCAGATTGGTGACTACCTTAATTGTCATCATAGAACCTTATACAGTAACTAGCGGAAGCAAATGCAGAGATCCACAGCTAAGCATTGGGACAAGCTCCTGGAGTTCAGTTGTAGAGAGGGAGGAGTGATAATATGAGCAAAGGGGTCAAAACTAGAATAGAGATACCCACAAAAACAGGTAACCTGAGCTAGTGGCATCTGACCCTAGATTGAGAGGTCAGGAACCTATATAGGACCAAACCATGTCCTAGGAATGTGGCTTACAGTTGTGGGGCTTGGGCAGTTTGTGGGGCCACCAGACATTGAACCAGTATTTATCCCTAGTGCATGAACTATTTATTTAGAGCCCATTCCCTATGGATAGACATCTTGCTCAGCACAGATACAGGGATGAGGGAATAAGTCTTGCTTTAAGTGATGTGACAAATTTGACTGACTCCACATGGGAGGCCTCACTCTCTCTTAGGAGTAGACTTGGAATTGATTTGGGGGAGCAAGAGGAGGAGAGAGAGTGGGAACTAGGATTTATAAGTAAAATAACAAAGGTTCCTAAAAATAAAGCATTTTCCTATTTTATTTATAGGAAAGTCTATTTGACTTTTATTTCATATTTTAGGAAACAAATGAACATGTGTTATTTACTCTTGCCTCAAGCTGACTTCTCTAAATCCTCATCAGTTTCTTTCATCAAGGCCACAACAAGTAACCAGGCAACCTGAGTTAGCTCTTTGCCCTTTCATTTTATCTTTTTTAAATGATTAAATTCAATTGAATAAAATGTACATTTTGTACAATATCAAGAAATATTCTTTGAGGAGTCACAAGGCAGTTGCTAGGCCACAACACTATGCTTCTGCCATATTCTCTATATTCTGTACATTATAGAACTGGAACAGCCCCATTAGAATTAATTGTTTGACCAATGAAACACAGGTGGTTCTGAGATTCTCACACTTGCACTGCTCAGTAAAGACAGTTAAATATTATTTAATATTTTTTCTTCTTTGTCAAAATCAAGTGTTCAAAGGAATGTGGATTAATTTCCAGGTCTTATATTTGGTTCCATTGGTCCTCCTGTCAATTTTTATGCCAATACTAGGCTGTTTTCAGTACTGTGGCTCTTTAGTAGGGTTTGAACTAAGGAATTGTGATGCCTCCAGAAATTCTTTTATTGTACAGGATCATTTTGGCTATCGTGAATTTTTTGCTTTTCCATATGAAGTTGAGTACCATTCTTTTAAGGTCTATGAAGAATTTTGCTGGGATTTTGATGGGCATTGCATTGAATCTGTAGATTGCTTTTGGTAAGATTGCCATTTTTATTATGTTAATTCTACCTACCAAAGAACATGGGAGACCTTTCCACTTTCTTGTGTCTTCTTCAATTTCTTTCTTCAAAGATTTAAAGTTATTGTCATACAAGTCTTCCAGTTCCTTGGTTAGCGCTACTACTAAATATTCTATGCTATTTGTGGTTATTGTAAAAGATGATGTTACTACATTTATAGCAGCATTGTTTGTCATAGCCAGAACCTGGAAACAACCTAAATGCCCATCTACTGAAAAATAGATAAAGAAAATGTGGTACCTTTACAAAATGGAGTACTACACCATAGGAAAAAATGACAACTTGAAATCTGCAGGCAAATGAATGAAGGTAGAAAACATGATATTGAGTGAGGTAACTCAGACCCAGAAGACAAATATCATATGTACTCACTCATAAATGGGTTTTAAACATAAAATAAAAACAAAACCAAAAAAGCCTACAAATTACAACCCCAGAGAACCTAGGCAACAATGAGGAACCCAGGAGAGACATAAATGAATCTAATATAAATGGGAAGTAGAAAAATACAAGATTTCCTGGTGTAGGAGGTCCTTCTGCCTATGTATTGCTTTCATTGGTTGAATAAAGAAACTGCCTTGGCCTTTTGATAGGG